ATTTCTAGTTGACGTGTTGAGTTTCATTTCCTCAATGGCACTTTGGCTAGAACCATCTCAAGAATGACTTTTAACAAGTGCTTGCCCTTTTCATTCAGGTGCAGGGATGTCAGTTTGTTCGGGGCAGGATAAAGATTGATTCCACCAGTTGTGTCTTTTTCCCCACCTTCACACACCACTGAATTCCTTCGACATTTTGAACAGTCCCCCTGAGTAGCAGAGGATGGTACTTTCTACGACAAGAGGAAGTTTACTACAGATGATTTTATGTCTCCAGTGTAGTATCCATGAGTTTCTTATAGACTAAGCTGCACCGGGCCTTTACATTTGTGCAAAAACTTTTCTCATTCGTCTAACCTTTCTTGTTTTGCAGGGAAACAGCTAGGGGCTGAAGAGGGCACTGCGACACTGCCGGAACTGGGCTCTGCTGACATGGGTTGGTCGGCCAGTCAGTGACTTGCCAGTCGGGGATGAAAAATTCGCATGGCACTTGGAATCCCTGGGCTGACCGGGCATCACCGTCTGTTGTGGCGTGCTTCACCTTGAACCCGTCCGCTGCCAGATCTTCGCCTATGGATTTAGCCATCTCGTACTCTGAAAGAGGTGAGAACATTTCAATATTAGCTGTGCAGTCTTCATGACCCCCCGGACAATGAACATCATAACCATTACCTCGAAGCCAGGTTCCAGTCCAGCAAAGTTTGTTTTATTGACATTGGCCCAATAATATACTGTTTGTTGGTGTTGGTCTCGCATGCAATGGCGTAAGCTTGTGATGATTGTAGCCTGGCTTTTTGCTGTACCAAGTTAGGGGGTGTAGCGTCCATCTATGGCAATGTCCAGTTCCTCTGGATGTTCTTGACCTTTGACCCGGTTGATGGCCTTAAACCCGTTGTCTTTTCACCATTTTTTTTATTCAGGGCTAGAGTGGCTGTGTTGACCTGGTCTGGCCCTTTGCATAACTGCGGTTAGGAGGTGGAATGTCCAAGGCAGCTACCATTTCCCGACTGCGTCGATTCCCCATGGAGGTGTTCTGCAGGGCTAATTTAAAGTTCCAGTTGATACTGGCAGGATTAGGGCCTGGTTTGTTAAAGGTAGGAATTTCAGTGTATAATTTATAGTAATTTGTCTGAAAATTACATACCGTACACAGTAGTCTCTTCTGCCATCCAAAACCCCATTTCCTCTGTCCTGAGATTCCCACACTGGAAAATTACAGTGCTTGGCCTGGTAAAGTGGGATTTGGCTAAACATTAAACATTTTCCCAAAACCAATGTTATGTCAACAATGCGGTTTCCCTCAAACTCATAAGACGTCTCTTCATTTTTTAGCTCCTGGCATGGCTCAGGTCTGGGACGAAGGATCGGGGTCCTTGAGATGTTTTCCCGGCCTTCAGCAAGGGGGTGTGCTGTCTCGGTCTCTGGGGATCCCTGGATGTTTGACACTGAACTTGAAGCTCCTGTTGACGTAGCCTGATGAGCCTTAATATAAGAGTGTTCCCCTTTTTTTAAACCCCAAAAATTAAGATTTTTTCTTCTTTTACGATCACCTTTCATTGTTTTCATGTGTAGTGAAGAGTGGATTTGAAAGCAAGATTGAATTATGACAATGTTTATTTGGACACTTTTAGTGGTATTTACTGCAATATATTCCTTTGACAATCACCTGTCAAAACAGACTCCCATAGGGTATTAAGATTACCTATACAAAGACTCTTAGCCAATCAGGGGCACATGGCCCCTCTTCACAGTCAGGAAAAAGGATAGGGGGTGGGCTTAAAAATGTTTATTTTGAATGTTATGTACACTTTTATCGTATTGATACATCATTTGATTTATGAATAAATGTACTTTAAATGTTTCCCCCATTGTCCCCCAGATTTTCATGATAGATTTTATATTTCTTAATTTAAGAAATTTTTTATGAAATCAGGGTACAATATAATTACCTAGAAATCTAAAAATCTTGTTTTACATATTTAAAGTGTGTGTGTGTTAAGAGGTATCAACAACTTACTTGAATAATTAGTTCCTTTTATTGTCTAACAGTTTTTACATATTTCAATTTTAAAATTTCATACTTGCCATTTTTGCCATTTTCTTTCCTGTATTGCCTTAGTATACAATGTAATTTTACATGTAGATATCAACCAATTTCAATCAAACTTGGTATATTAGTTAAGTAGTATCTAAGGATTTCAAATATGGCCTTAAAATTTTTTAATGAATATGCCTCATAAACCCCGGGCCACGGGTGAAGGTCAAATGGCTAAAACGTAGCACATGTAGGAAATTCATATGCCTCCCTTTCAATGTAAAAATAAAAAAAGCCACATGTTTTAATACTTTTGGGGGATAAAATAAAAAATAGAGTGTCTAAAATTTACAATATATGCAGCAAAAGGGGCATTTCAAGCAAAATTATGCCTAGAAATATGAATTAAAAAAAATTCCATTTGGTTTGTTTAATTTTTTCCTTCCAAGCGAGAGTATCCCAGCATAACTCAGAAGTTTATTAATAACCAGGGAATTCCAATTCCAACCCCCTATTCGGGTGTGAATATTTATCTAAAACATTGCTCTATCATGTGGTCAAAGATATTTGGAAATGAAGTTTTTAAAAAAGTTACAAAGAAAAAAAACACATGTTTTTACTATATAAGTCTATATGTAAGCTAATTGTGGTCCGGGTCCCTTTTGATGGGGTGTTTGAGGGTTTCCCTGAATTTATTTTTAAAGATATACAATGAAATTTTGACAAGGTGGGTTATCATTTTAAATAGTTTCATAAAATTTTTTTAAAAATATTTAAAATTTTAAAATTAATTTTTATAAAAATTAAAATTTTTTGAGTGATTGAAAAAAAATTAAATTATGCATCCCAGAATGCAATTTTTTCGGGGGAAAATGTCGGTGAAAGAGGTCACATTAGTGCTTTCCATTGACCACAAAGTAGTTCCTTTTTAAAAATAGAAAAACTGTTTTGTAATGTGTATTTGCATGTGTATTCTTAATAAGGGGTCCCTTTGAAGTCATAGATGAAAGACGAGGTTTTATTGGAAATGACAGACAAGTATCCATTGATTTCCCCCACCCAAAATAAGGCGCAATAAGAAGGTGGTGATTGGGCCAATATTTACTATAACATGTGCATGGATTTATTTTGCAGGAAAGCACGTGGAAATGGGATTCAGGCTTTGCCCACTCATAATTGCACATGCAGGCAGAGGTTGTGTATTGGAGTTTATAATTTCAGGTAAGTGGAAATTATGTTGTGTAAAAATATGTACTTTTCACTAAAATAGAAATGGGGGTTGATGGGTTTGTCATTTCAAGGAAGAGGGGGGGGGGTATAGTTTGTAGTTTTTGACAAAAAATTGATCAGTAAGTAAGTATTGTATGTATGTATGTATGTATTGTAAAAACTGTGTGCGTATGTGTATGATGTGTCTTATGTATTTATGTGGAAGTTTTGGGTTGTGGCCTGGTTTTAATTTTTACACGTTTCTTATCCCACTTTGTATAGTAGGTATCTTTTCGAATAATTTGTTTGGCCCTGAGAAGGGCCTTTTGTCTCGTCTTGCAACTATGTCTTAGTAGGGGGATCCTCTGGATTGCTCCCGGACTGTAGGTGTGGGTTTGGGTCAAGTTGCCCTTTGTTGTAGGTGCACCCGGGTTTGGTCTTTCCTTTTCTAGCCCCCGCATTTTGTTTATTAGCGAGCTTTTCTCTGCATTTCTCGCCTTTTAACTGCTTTTCTCTTTCTGTATTCTCTGCGATAGGCATATTCCCTGGTCAATGCTTTTTAGGTACTGATGTGTGTGGCGGACAGTGGCAATGTAATCTTTGCTGCTTTCATTAATGTTGCTAGTCCCGGACTGTTGTTTTGTCTTAAAATCTTAGTTGAGAGGATTCTTTCAGCATATTTTGAATAGTTGGTGGGTTTAGGTATAACTTCGCTGACTGCTCTGTTAAGACCTTCACATTTCTGAGTTGACGTGTTGAGTTTCATTTCCTCAATGGCACTTTGGCTAAGTCGCATCTCAAGAATGACTTTTAACAAGTGCTTGTCCTTTTCATTCAGGTGCAGGGATGTCAGTTTGTTCGGGGCGAGGATAAAAGATTGATTCCACCAGTTGTGTTTTTCCACCTTCACACACCACTGAATTCCTTCGACATTTTGAACAGTCTCCTGAGTAGCAGAGGAGGGACTTTTACGACAAGAGGAAGTTTACTACAGATGATGTTGATGTCTCCAGTGTAGGTATCCATGAGTTTCTTATAGACTAAGCTGCACCGGGCCTTTACATCTTGTGCAAAAACTTTTCTCATCTGGTCTAACCTCATTCTTGTTTTGCAGGGAAACATCTCGGGGCTGAAGGGGCACTGGACACTGCGAACTGGGCTCTGCCATTTGCCCAGTGATGCTTGCCAGTCTGGATGAAAAATTCGCATGGCATCTTGGAATCCCTGGGCTGACCGGCATACCGTCTGTTGTGGCGTGTTACCTTGAACCCGTCCGCTGCCAGATCTTCGCCTATGGATTTAGCCATCTCGTACTCTGAAAGAGGTGAGAACATTTCAATATTAGCTGTGCAGTTCATGACCCCCCGGACAATGAACATCATAACCATTACCTCGAAGCCAGGTTCCAGTCCAGCAAAGTTTGTTCTGCATTGATCATGTTGATGCGCCAATAATATACTGTTTGTTGGTGTTGGTCTCGCATGCAATGGCGTAAGCTTGTGATGCATTGTAGCCTGGCTTTTTGCTGCTACCGAAGGTTATGGAGTTGTAGCGTCCATCTATGGCAATGTCCAGTTCCTCTGGATGTTCTTGACCTTTGACCTGGTTGATGGCCTTAACCAGTGTCTCTTTCACCCATGTCTTTTTTATTCAGGGCTAGAGTGGCTGTGTTGACCTGGTTGCTGGCCCTTTGCATGGAACTGCGGTTTGGAGGTGGAATGTCCAAGGCAGCTACCATTTCCCACTGCGTGATTCCCATGGAGGTGTTCTGCAGGGCTAACTGAAAGTTCCAGTTGATAATGGCAGGATTAGGGCCTGGTTTGTTAAAGGTAGGAATTTCAGTGTATAATTTATAGTAATTTGTCTGAAAATTACATACCGTACCATCCAAACCCCCATTTCCTCTGTCCTGAGTATTCCCACACTGGAAAATTACAGTGCTTGGCCTGGTCAAAGTGGCATTTGGCTGCATCATTAAACATTTCCAAGACCAATGTTATGTCAACAATGCGGTTTCCCTCAAACTCATAAGAGGTCTCTTCATTTTTTAGCTCCGGCATGGCTCAGGTCTGGGACGAAGGATCGGTGTCCTTGAGATGTTTTCCTGGCCTTCAGCAAGGGGATGTGCTGTCTCGGTCTCTGGGGATCCCTGGATGTTTGACACTGAACTTGAAGCTCCTGCGGCGTTTGACGTAGCCTGATGAGCCTTAATATAATGAGTGTTCCCTTTTTTAAATCCAAAATTAAGATTTTTTCTTCTTTTACGGTCACCTTTCATTGTTTTCATGTGTAGTGAAGAGTGGATTTGAAAGCAAGATTGAATTATGACAGTGTTTATTTGGACACTTTTTTAGTGGTATTTACTGCAATATATTCCTTTGACACTCACCTGTCAAAACAGACTCCCATAGGGTATTAAGATTACCTATACAAAGACTCTTAGCCAATCAGCTGCACATGGCCCCTCTTCACAGTCAGGAAAAAGGATATGGGGGTGGGCTTAAAAATCAGTTTATTTTGAATGTTATGTACACTTTTATCAGTAATATGATACATCATTTGATTTATGAATAAATGTACTTTAAATGTTTACCCCTATTGTCACTCTCAGATTTTCATGATAGATTTTATATTTCTTAATTTAAGAAAATTTTATGAAAATGCAGGGTACAGATCATCAAATTACCTAGAAATCTAAAAATCTTGTATTTTACATATTTAAGAGTGTGTGTGTGTTGCAGAGGTCTCAACAACTTACTTGTAATAATTAGTTCCTTTTATTGTCTAACAGTTTTTACATATTTCAATTTTAAAATTTCATACTTGCCATTTTTTGCCATTTTCTTTCCTGTATTGCCTTAGTATACACAATATGTAATTTTACATGTAGATATCAACCAATTTCAATCAAACTTGGTATATTAGTTAAGTAGTATCTAAGGATTTCAAATATGGCCTTAAAATTTTTTAATGAATTTTATGCCTCCATATAGGATCCGGGCCACAATTAAAGGGTGAAGGTCAAATGGCTAAAACGTAGCACATGTAGGAAATTCATATGCCTCCCTTTCAATGATAAAAATAAAAATAGCTCACATGTTTTAGATACTTTTGGGTATAAAATAAAAGTAGAGTGTCTAAAGTTTACAATGATAGCAGCAAGGTGCATTTCAAGCAAAAATTATGCCTAGAAATATGAATTGAAAAAGCATTCATTTGGTTTGTTTACAATTTTGCCAAGCGAGAGCTATCCGAGGCTATAACGTCAGAAGTTTATTAATAACCAGGGAATTCCACATTTAACCCCCATTCTGGATGTGAAATTTATCTAAAAATTGCTCTATCATGTGGTCAAAGATATTTTGGAAATGAAGGTTTTTAAAAAAGTTACAAAGAAAATAAAACACATGTTTTTACTATATAAGTCTATATGTAAGCTATTGTGGGGGGTTTGTTTCCCGGAAAAAAATTAG